CTGTGACTAAGGTCCCGAGCCCATACGTTCAACTACTCAGTCCCTCTGGGCTGTAACCAAGCAGTGACTACAACCTTGCCCCTTGTCAGCTCCATTATACACCTGGGAATTCAGATTATACACATAAAGTTATAGGACCACTGTCTGCCAACCCTATACATGTTCTTAGATGTACTCCCCACTTCATAGACATACCTAATATTTCAGCCTGCCTATCCATCTATCCACCCATATACCTGTGTTTGCCTTCACTGACCATGCCGTACTATAGGCACGAAAGGGTTTGCATGTGATCTACTCTTTATAAACATTTTTAAATTGAGTTGATAACCCCATAGTCCCAAATAATGATTGTATCAAATATCCATGCTTATATCTTATTCAAAAGACTTTATAGTTGAACAAAACCCAAATCACATCTATGCATGATTTTTCCAGAATACTACAAGACTATAGAAGACAAATTATCATTAAATATGAAACAACAGCTTAAGCACCATAAAAAAATCTCTCCTACATTGATGTCCAGCTAAGAAAGTTCTTCAGAAGCACTATTCAAATCCTACTTTCATCACAATGAAAATATGTTCGACTGTTTTGTTGAAGATCAGATGAAATACGGGCTCTAGGTTTTGCAACTGACAGATACAAAATTATGTTCCTAAAACAGAATTTATAAAATGTATCTATGAAAACTGATTACTTCTCACTCTAAGGAGTTACTGAAGCATCTGATGAATCCTGGGTTGTTCTGCTAGAATAAATCTCCTGCATGTCTGAACAGTTTTTGTTATGCATTTCTTATCATATTTTACAATTCTATACCCTAAACACAAACATTTAGTAGAAAACAAGTTCTCTCAAGATACATAAAAGGCTGGCCCACATTTCCAATTCAAAACAAGTGTTTTCCCAGGGAGTAAATCATGCTTTCTAGGCCCAAATTCAAGGCACTTTCCAAGTTTTAATGTGTGTGTACAAGTCAGTTGGGGATCTTGTTAAAATGAAGATGCTGATTCGGAGGTCTGAAGCTGAGCAGACACTCTGCATGTCTAACAAGTTCCCTCTCTGGCTGATGGGATCCACCACTCAAATGCAGTCCTTGGATCAGCAGCTTGGGAACTTGTTACAAATGCACTTCCCTTAGCCTGACAAATGGAGCATACTAATATCCTCTGAGGATATGGGTAGTTCCAGACCTGTATCTTAAAGCATTTTCTTTAAAGTCCATTTACAGTTCACTCCCTCACATTTGCTTTATTGTTGCTGCTGAAGATCAAACCTTCTTTTCTCTCAACTCCTGCCATTATTCTAAACTCTCAACATACCAGTTAAGCTCCTCCATGATAAAGGCCTGAAAGGCTGATTCGTTCAGGCTTCTCTCCTACAATCTCTACACATGTCCACCACTTGCCAGTTGAACGAGGTTGGTTCTTTTCTAAATATAAACCATCCTTTCTCACTGCAATTCTTTCTTGTTTTCTTTTGCTGTTCATGCTTTTCCCTCCACCAGGCCCGCTTCTAATGCCATCCCTCTTGAGTTAGCTTGCCTCATCAATCACTCAATGGCAAGTGACCACACCATTCTCTAAACCAACCATTCACCCCTACCAGAAGATTTTTTTTTTTAATGTACTACCTTCTGCTACATATAAGATATATTGTTGGTCCTTGTCTTGTCCATGCTGCTGAATTCTAAACTACTTGAGGGCAGAAATCTTTATTTGTTTTCAATTTAGGTAATAAAAGTCACATTAACAAAAACATTAGCCATTTTCAAGTCAACAATTCAATGGCATGAAATATATTCACAGTGTTGTGCAACCACTACCTCGATCTAGTTGCAATCCATTTTCATCATCCAAAAGGAAACCCTAGACCCATTAAGCACTTGCTCCCCATCTCCCCTTCTCTCATAACCAGGCTACCACCAAATCTGTGTTCTGTCTTTGCAGATTAAATTAGTCTGGGTGTTTCATATAAACGGAATGATAAGATATGCATCATTTTGTATCTAGTTTTCTTCTTAGCAAAACATTCTCAAAGTTCCCATGAATCAGTACTTCATTCATTTTTACGGCTGAATAATCATCATAGGATACATGTACCAAAATCTATTCATTCATACCTTAATGGACATACGGACTGTTTCTATCTTTTGGCTATTTTGAATAATGTTTCTATGAACATGTGTGTACATGTATTTGCTTAAGTACCTGTTTTTAATTCTTTAGATATATACCGAGGAGTGGAATTGTTGGGTCCTAAAAGGCCACTCCTCGGAAGGAAGATGGGGCAATCTACTTCCGTAGTGATACTGTCTCGGAAACCCAAGGAGGGGTTGCTATGAGTCGGGTCCGACTCGACGGCACATAACAACAACAACAAGGGGTCACTATGAGTCTGAATCAATTTGATGGCAATGAGTTTGGTTTAACTTCTTGAGGAACAAACTTTTCCACCACAGATGAATCATTTTACATTCTCACTAACAATGTACAAGGGTTCCAATTTCACACATCCTCAGCAACACTTGTTATTCTCTATTTGTTTTTAATGGCCATCCTGTTGCTGTTGTTAGGCACCATCGAGTCGATTCCAACTCATAGCAAATCTATAGACAACAGAACAAATGTATAACAGAACCCTATGTACAACAGAATGGCCATCCTATTGGGTCTGAAATGGTACCTCCTTGTGGTTTTAATTTGCATTTCCCTAACAACTAATGAACTTGAACATCTTCTCATGTGCTTGTCTGGCCAACTGTATATCTTCTTTGGAGAAAAGTCTACTCAAGTCCTTTGCCCAATTTTTAATTGGGATATATGATATTTTTTTGTCTAGTTGTGAGAGTTCTTTATATATGAAAGACTTATACACTGATATTTATAAAACACTGCTGAAAGAGATTAAAGAAGACCTAAATAAATGGAAAGACATTCTATGTTCATGGACTAGAAAACTTTGTATCATTAAGATGTCGATACTACCCAAAGCAATTTGCAGATTCAAATGCAATCGTGATCAAAATTCTAACCACTCTCTTTACAGAAATGGAAAAACCAATCCTCAATTTTACATGGAATGGGAAGAAGCCTTGAATAGTCAACACAATTCTGGGAAGAACAAAGTAGAAGGACTCTCACTTCCTGACTTCAAAACATACTATAAAACCACAGTAATCAAAACGGTCAGGTAGCTAGTATAACAGACACACAGACCAATGGCATAGAATTGAGTGCCCAGCAACAAACCTATATACCAGGAGCTCTGGTAGTATAGTGCCTAAGGCACTTGACTGCTAAACCAAAAGGCTGGCGGTTCAAACCCACCAGCCACTCCTTGGAAGGAAGGTTGGGCAATCTACTTCCGCAGCGATACCACCTCAGAAACCCAAGGAGGGGTTGCTATGAGTCAGGGCTGACTCAACGGCACACAACAACAACAACAACAATAACCTATATTCAACTGATTTTTAACAAGAGTACTAAAGTTCACTTCCTGGAAAGGAAGAGTCTCTTCAATAAATGGTGATTTCAACAAAGAGAAGAATAAATCAGAATCTATGCCTTACACCATACTCAAAAACCAACTTAAAATGGATAAAGGACCTAAACATGAAAACTAAAACCATAAAATTCCTAGAACACGGGGGAGGGGCATGGAAGCAGGGCCTAGTTTTTCATGACTTATTAGATGTAACAATAGTATGAGACAAAATAAATAGAACTTCATAAAAATTAAAAACTTTCGTTCATCAAGAAACCTAATTAAAAAAGTAAAAGGACAACCTGAGATTGGAAGAAAATTTTTGGGAACCATATATCTGGTAAGAGTCTAATACCCAAAACATACATAAAACTTCCACAAAGTTTTTTTAACAAGAAAAAAATAAATAACCGAATCTGAAAAACGGACAAAGGACTTGAACAGATATTTTACCAATGAAAATATTCAAATAGCCAACAAGCACATGAGAAGATGCTTATTAGCCATTAGAGAGATGCAAGTCAAAACTATAATGACAAACTACTTCATTCCCACTAAGATGGCTAACAGTTAAAAAAAATAAACAGAAAATAACAAATGTTGGCAAGTATGCCAAATGTTAGCAAACACATAATTTTTTTTAAAGTTTTCTGTGTTTTTCTATAAAATGCTCAGTGTATGTGTTAATTAACAAAAACAACTAAGAAATACAACTTCTCCATAGAAAGCTGACACACAAAACTTTAAACTAGATTACATACAAAGACTGAAGGTATATATACTTAATCTTAATGAAAAAGTTAGGATAGAAAAAAGAGGTATTTTCAATCAAACAAGAAGGTAATAAAAATTGGGCAGGAGAATTTGATTTTCCCAGGAAATAACACTGAAAAGGAGACTGCCATAATATCCTTCTCAGTAAGTTTACCAGGACAAAATTCACTGTTTCCTTTTAAAATTCACATTTACCTGATGATTCTCTGGGCAGCGTACTGATGCAGGGAACGAAACTGGGCCGACATATTTGCTAAAGCTGCCAAACAATTTGTGTGAAGGTACTTGTCCTGTCAGAAAACAGCAAGTTTATGACACACATCAAAAGTCTTTTCTACACCTTAAGCAAGGTTAATCAGAAGCAATTGTAACTCAGCTGTCTTTGATTTTATAAGGTGTAGTGCAACAATCTCTCTCCCTAATTCCAAGTTCAAAAAACACTAAAAAATGGAAAGTTTTTCACAACTCATTTGGAAGCAATGTCCGACCCAAAGGATTATGATGCTATTTATGACCTTTGTTTATTCTTACTATTGTGAATAATTAAATGCTTAGCTGCAGAAATTATTAAAGTTTAATTACATTAGACTGTCACTCCAGACCCTAATGGTTAGATATATAAGTATAAGCACCATAATTATCATTCTAAGACAGAAAAAATTTCCTGCTCTGAAACAAATCTGGTTCTTAGGGTTTCAGATAAAAGAATACGGCTATGTATCTACGTTAGCCTCACAGAGGGAAACAGATGAAAATAGTTCAGCAAATCTGACTACACTTACTCTTCATTTATTGACTATCTTGTTATCCACCATTCTGCATTGATGACAATAGTAAGAAAAAAAAAAATCTATTTTGCACATTAAGGACATATGTCTGGCATACGAAGAGTGAGGGGTGAGGTGAGACTAACACAGGCTGTGAAAGTTAAGGTTATGTGTCAGCTTGGCCGGGCCATGATTCTCAGCAGTTTGGCAGTTTTGTCATGATGCAATCTGGCAGTTATGTAATGATGTAGTCACTTCCCTTTTGTGATCTGATGTGGTCATACTCTGTTTTCACATAATGCTGATTTTCGCCTAACGACCTGCTCATTGGAACCTAACCACATCAGTAAGTGAGGAGTGGGGAGATTTCTCTAGCTATGAATTCTGTAGATTGCTTCTCTTTGATGATAAATTTCTATTGAACAGCACTGAAATTTGGTCCCAGGCTCTGCAAAAGAAATCCAGTGTGAATTTTCCTGTGACTCTTTGTTTTCTTTCTTCTATTTTTCTTTCCCATTTTCTTGTGCTATTATATTCTTACAAGTTGTTGCTGGTGCTTTTAAGGGGCAAGTCCTTTTTATCGGCCCAGGCATGAGATAAAATATACCACCTATTATCCACATGTGCTCTGCTACATATTTTCTATTTCATGTAAAATGCCTCTGATCATACAAATATTAAATATTAAGAAACACAATAAACTATAAAGGTGAAGATTACTGAAATATCAAATGTTTCATTACCTATGTATTTACCACAATAAGAAAATATTAAGTAACAGATATTGCACACATTATTTTGGGATCTTGTATTACAATGACTACGTACTGATCTGAATTTTTTACACCATTATTTTACAAAGATTTCAGCATTGCTTTAAACTATAGTCTTAATTGTACAGTATACATAAAGATAGAAAAATAGTTAAGAAATACTTACTCTTGTCCTTGTCATGTTGTACTGAATGGTTCTTATTACAACCAGTATCAGGAGACTCCCCAATGAAATCTCAGTTAAAACCCGTTCTGAATACCAAGTAATATTTTTTAATATCTGTAATAGACAGGAAACATTTAATAAGTATGATTGCTTTAGGGGAAAAAGTACTTACGCCACATCCACAGTTTTTGATAAGCCACAGCTTTACTCTGAAGGCGAGTAAAGCTGCATATAAAATGGATTGTGAGACTTTCAGCTCAAGATAGCAAACTGGACCAATGTGTTAACGTCTCCTTCCACCATATAAATATAAGAAAAAAAAAAGAAATAGCAGTAGTAATCAACATGCACCAATGTACCTTCCATATCAACAAGCTGGCTCTGGGACCCCAACTTAAAATCTTGCCTTTGACCACTGAATTTGGCATCCCCAGAACTACACAGAGTCTTGTCTCTCACACCCAAAAATATTTACACTCTCATTGCATATTTCTAAGCTCCCACTGTGTTCTAAGTAGGTTCTGGAAATACAGAGCTGAAGAGGATTCTAGCTCTGTCTCTAAGAACATAGTACAGGGCAGGACAATGAACAATACCACACAGTGTGAAAAGTGCTGTGATGGAGTTGAGATAAGCAGAACAGGATTCCCGGAGGATAGGAGTTCACTGTTGAAAAACGAGGAGTTAGCCAGAAGACAAGAGCTGTATGAGAGGCAAAGATAACGCAAGGCCAAGGAAGCAGCATGTGCTAGGTCAAGTGCACACAGGTGCTCCCACTATAGATTCTGATACAGCTTAACTCTCTGGCCAAGAGTCCCATGTGACCTAGAATCCGGCTGTAAGCAGTCCAAACCTGACCTGAAGTCTCCACCCAAAAGCTGGCATATATAGCAGACATCTACTGCATGGGAGCAAAATATTGTTAAAAACTGAAACAAAACCCATTGTCATTGAAGCAATGCTGACTCATGGTGACCCTAAAGTAGAAATGCCCCATATGGTTTCCAAGGCTGTGAACCTTGACAGAAGCATATCGCCACATCTTTCTCCTGCATAGGAGCTGGTGGTTTTGAACTGCTAACTTCAGTTAGTAGCCAAGGTGCTTAATTTTAATGACTGCACAACCAGGGCTCCTTAATAATGGTCTTAATCAAGGAGAAAAGGCAACCTAAGGGTAAAACAAATAACAGTACTGAAAAATTTCAAAACAGTTTAGAATTGAGTTTCTATAACGGGAGAGATTGTACTCTCGGACTTACGAAGTCAGCAGTTTTCAAAATATGGTCCTGAGACCTTTCAATCCCCTGAAATGTCTTCAAAATCAAAATTATTTTCAGGATGGAAGCAATTATTTTATCTTCTCACGAACCTATAGTGGAGTCTTTCAGAGGTTACATGGCAACTCTGATAGTGAAACTAAGTGAACACAGAAGCAGATATGATTATCTACTTATGTCTGCTGTTAAGATAAACATTTAAAAAATTCACAAAATTGCACAACAAAAAGGAAAAAGCCACTCTTCTATATTTTTGTTTGTGGAAAATAGTTATTTTCATTGATGTTAATATACACTGGTTTTATTATTATTACTTTCATTTGTTTCTTCTCTAAATTTTATTTTGTTGTTATTGAGAACAGATTCAACAAAATACACACCAATTCATTTCTAGTTGTACAATTTAGTGACACTGACTACATTCTTTGAGTTGTGCAAGCATTCTCACCCTCCTTTTCTGAGGTGTTGCTCCCTCATTAAGTCACTGCCCACTAAAGTTCTTATCTAAACTTTCCGGTTGCTGTTGTCAACTGGATCCCACATATAAAGTTCTTAAAAGAGCACACAGTGCTCAAGGCAGGTCTTCCTTACTAGTTAAGCTAAACTACTGCTCGGTTTTAAGAAGAGTTCAGGGGATATTTTTGGTTTATGTTTAAAGATTATCTCAGGGCAACAGTTTCAGGGAGTCATCCATCCTCCATGGCTTCTGCAAGTCTATGAGTCCCTGACAATTTTAAATTCTACTCTGCCTTCTCTCCCTTTTGATCAAGATTCTTCTATGGAATCTTTGGTCAAAATTTTCAGTACAGGTAGCTGGGCACCATTGTGTTCTGCTGGTCTCACAGCAAAAGAGGCAGTTGTTCTTGGAGGCAATTAGCCATACATGCCATATCCTCCTCCTGTTCCTGAGTTTTCTTCTTCCTCTGTGGTTCCAGGTAAACAGAGACCAACTGTTGTGCCTTGGATGGCTGGTTGCAAACTTTGAAGATGCCAGGCACTATGTAACAAACTAAGTACAACAGAGCACTACAAATGTTATTAGCCCAATTATCTGGCAGTTCCCATGAAACCATGACCCTAAACCTCCAAATCATGGAACCAAATCTCATGAACTATTTGGTTGCACATAAGCAGCCTCAGCAGCTACTCTTCTCTTTCTTTTTTCTCTGTCACACTGAAAATATACCTACCACACTGCTTTTGCCAAGTCCACTTTTCACAGGTGTACAAATTATTGACAGCAATCACAGTAGTTGGCTATGCAGCTCTACCCTTAACCAATGGGATCTTTCCATCATCACTTTCTCTGCCCTCTTCTTCCTGCCTGATAACTACTACCAAACTTTTGTCTCTATACACTTGTGATTTCTTGATTTTTTAACATAATAGGTCACCCAATATTTGCTCTTTTGTAACAGGCTTATTTCATGCAATATCATGTCTTCAAGCACCATCCACAATATAAGCATGTATCAAGATTTCCTTTCTCCTACTGGCTGACAAGTATTCCACTGCATGTAAGTACCGTATTTTGTTTATCCATTCACCTCTTGATGTGCATTTAAGCTGTTTTCACCAATAGGCTATTGTGAATAGTGCTGCAAAAAAACACTGCAGGACAAGCCTCTTTTGAGTCTCTACTTCAAGTCTTTTGGGTATATACCTAGGAATGAAATTATTGTGTCATATGGTAATTTTATTCTTCTTTTTTGAGAAACCAACAGTGTATTTAACACCACAACTGTACCATTCTGCCTTCCCACCAGCAATGTTAAAGGGTTCCAATTTCTCCATATCCAAATGGGTGTTATCTGTGGAAAACTATGGTATATATACTTTGATTTTTGTTGGATATATGATTTTTGAAGGTAGTCTCATAGTAGGTGGCTTGTTTTTTCACTTTTTTTTTGGTGACTTCTTTGGATACACAAAAGTTTTTCACTTTTAAAAGGTCTCATTTACTTATTTTGTCTTTTGCTGTTTTTGCTTTTGTTATTGTATCAGATAATTCACTGTTCAATGTTAGGACTGCCAGTCTAGCACCTGCTTGTTCTTCTATAAATTTTATGGTTTTAGTTTGCATATTTAGGTCCTTAATGCATTTCAAATTTTGTTTTGTATATGGTGTGAGGCAAGGATTCTGTTTCATTTTTCTGCATGAAGAAATCCAATTTTCCAAGCACCCTTTATTAAAGAGGCTCTTCTTCGCCACTGAATGGACTTAGCACCCTTGTCAAAAATCAGTTCACCACAGGTGTGTGGGTTTACTTAAGCACTCTCAATTCTATTCCACTGGCCTATGTGTCCATTGTTACACCAGTGCCAGGCTGTCTTGATTACTATAGTTGTAGTACAGTATGTCTTTAAACCAGGACATGTGAATCCTCCGACTTTGTTCTTCTCTTTCAATGCTGCTTTAGCTATTTGGGACCTCTTGCCATACCATGGGAGCGTTGGTGGCCTAGTGCCTAAGGCATCTGACTGCTAACTAGAAAGCTGGCAGTTCAAACCCACCAGCCACTTCTCAGAAGGAAAACTGGGCAATCTACTTCCATTGAGACACCACCTCACAAACCTAAGAAGGGATCACTATGAGTCGGAATCAACTAGATGGCAGTGAGTTTTGCCAATCTATATAACGTGGATTGGTTTTGCCATTTCTGTAAAGGCGGCTGTTGGAGTTTGTTTGGGATTGCGTTGAAGCTATAGATCACTTTGGGGAGCACTGAAATCTTAGTAATATTAAGACTTTAATCTCTTTCGACAGTGTTTTTTATAGCTTTCATTGTATAAATCATTCACATCCCTAGTTAGAATTATTCCTAGATATTTTATTCTCCTAGACTAATTGTAAATGGAATTGTTTCCCCCATTTCTCTTACACATTTCTCCTTGCTGGTGTATAACACTCAAGTGATTTTTGTTGTTGACCCTGTACCTGCAACTTTCCTAAATTCCTCTATTAGCTCCAAAAGTTTTCTTGTGGACCCTTATGGATGTTCCATAAACAGCACCATACCATAAGCGAATACAGATTTTACTTCTTTTCCAATCTAGCTATCTTTCATTTCACTTTGTCTCACTGCTTTGGCTAAGACTTTTAATACAATATTGAATAGGAGTGGTGAGAATGGGCACTCATATTGCCAAAAATTTCAAGGGGAAAGCTCTCAATCTTTCTCCATTAATGATAATGCTGGCCATTGGCTTTTCATATAAGCTGTGAATCATATTGAGGAATTTCCTTTCTATTCCAATCTTCTTTAGGGTTTTCATCAAGAACAGGCACTAGATTTTATCAAATGCTTTTTCTGTATCCATAGAAATGATCACATGGGTTTTTTCCTTTGTTCTGCTGATGTGGTGCATTACACTGACTGACTTTTCTGATGTCCAACTACCCCTGCATCGCTGGAATAAATCCCACTTGCTCTTTTCATATGATGCTGGTGTCTGTTCATTAATATTTTGTTGAGAATTCGTCCACTTATATTCATAAAATTTTGGCACCTATATTCATAAATGGCAGCTATATGTATAGACATCACCAGATGGAGTACGCATGAATTAAGATGGACTACATCTATGGAAGGAGGCAAAGGAGAAGCTCAATATCTTCAGCCAAAACAAGGCCAGGAGTTGACTACTGAAGAGACCATCAACTGCTTATATGCACATATTTAAGCTGAAATTGAAGACAATTAAAACAAGTAGACAAGAGCCAAAATATGGCCTTGATTACATCCCTTCTGAACTCAGAGACCATTTAAAGAAAAGATTTGATGCACTGAACACTAATGACTGAACCGGAGAAAATGCGGGATTAATCAAGAATAT